GATTTCCAATATTAAAACCACATTTCTTGACACTATTTGAAAGTAGGCTCTAATTTGATTGTTTAGGGCCTAGGCTCTATACAAACCGCACCCTTTATTTATTGACTCAAGGATTTTCTTCTTTTTTTTTTTTTTTTGCCATGTATCACTTGATGTTGCTTAACATTTTAAATGTTTTCATACATATATGGAGAGACAGTTGCAAATCTCCAGGGTTATTTATATCTTTTGTATCACAAGGGCATTTACCCAAAAAGTCCTCTATGGTCCAAATTGGTTCATTTAACAGTTCCAGGAATTTCCAATATTAACAATGGCATCTGATCTGTACAGATACCTATAAATCAAGTCCTCGTTTAAAGCCCTAATTCTTTGGTTCCCCATTCTTCCAACTACAAATTTTCAACGCAAAGGGGATTGCAAACAAATTAAAGATTGACCAAGTGGAATCCACACTTGTTTTGGCCATTCCACATAACTTATTGCACATATCACACATGTCATACAAGAGTAAGTTGAAAACCTCTGAAACCTAAGGATTTTTTTGTCAAGGGATGCCCATTGCTATTCATCATGTGTCAATCAGTGTTCCCAATAAATTTCATATAGACCAGGGTTTTGGATGGATACCTTTTGATTTTTCTGTAAATATGAATGTTTAGGGCCGTTATCAAGATCAACAGTGGTTGGATCTAGTTTGCATGGCCAAATATGAATCCACTGTAAATTTGGGAACCTTGGGTTACATAATTTGTGAAATACGAAGTTTTTGCGATAATCAGTGTCATTTCCAGCCCGTATGAATGCCTCAATTTCACAGGTGCCAAGGCTGCAATGAGAGGCCAACGTGTGGATATGCACTAGCCTAAACTGTAATTGACAAAAAATTTAAAGCACACGGTGGTTTCAATCTAGCCTAGAGTATTTTTGGCTGAAATGTTGATCGACTTTGTTGAGCCTTATGAAGGATGTGAAAATTTTGTATTTTTTAATCAACTTGTTTCTCATATTTGATACATATGAATCTGTAAAAAATAAAACCCATTGTAGTCGTTAAACTCTGATTTCATTGCATATGGATGCTCCACTTGTTTGTCTTTGTGGTTGAGGAACTTTAGAATTCTTTATATTTTGCAGCCCCCAGAGCTATGGCCAAGAGCCAGGGACACCTTTGCCATTAAAAATTATAAATTTCAGAATTCTGCATGAAGTTCTCACTGCAAAAACATATGATTGTCGTATCCAATTATTTCAAGATAATTTGGGAGAATAGTAGCATTATTTGGTAATATTTCCAATCTAAATAGATTTTTTTTAAGTACCCAAATTGATTGGAAATAATCCCAATAGATGGGACTTTCCTATAGGAAATATATTAATGGGTAACAATTTAAAAAGGTGAATTGATGGAGAGACCACATCGACTTGGTGAGATATGTACGATGGAGTGCAAACTAGTGTACGAACAACTAGTAGAGAGACGAGTCAATTTTCTATGACAATAGGTCGACATCAAGGGTCAACATTGAGCCCATACCTCTTTATCTTAGTTATGGACGACTTAACTAGGCACTTACAAGATGAGGTACCTAGGTGCATGTTGTTCAAAGATGACAATTTTGATCGATGAGACCCAAAATAGCGTCAACACAAAGTTAGAACTTTTGAGGGAAGCTCTAGAATCTAAAGATTTTAAAATTAGCCTGACTAAAACAGAGTATATGGAATGCAAGTTTAATAATAATAGGAGTAGAGACGAGGAAGTACTTAAGATTGACAACCAGAAAATACCAAAAAGAGCGCACTGTCGATATCTTGGGTAAACTAGGAAAACGGAGAGATTAGGGAAGATGTTGCACGTACAATTAGAGCTGGGTGGGCAAAATGGAGATGCGCAACTAAAATTTTATGTGATCGCCGCATACCAATGACGTTGAATGGCAAGTTCTATAGAACCATTGTGAGATCAACTTTGTTCTATAGGGCAAAATGTTGGGCGGTCAAAAACAATATACCCATAGAATTAGTGTAGTGGAGATGAGAGTGTTGAGATGGATGAGTGGCAACACAAGAAGGGATAGAATTCGAAATGAATACATTCGAAAAAATTTAGGTGTGGCAACAATTAGGGATAAGATGAGAGAGAGTAGACTTAGGTGGGCTGGCCATGTGTGGCGCAGACCCAGTACAATACCTATTAGGAGGTGCGAGTTAGTTCAAGTGGAAGGCTCAAAAAGGGCAAAGAGTAGGCCCAAAAGGACATGGTTGGAAGTAGTGAGAAAATATATGGGGACTTATGGCCTCACTGAGGAAATGACCCTTAAGAGATGGCAGACTAAGATTCGTGTAGCCAACTCCAATTAGTTGCAAAAAGGCTCTAACGATGAATTGATGGTTCTGTAACAAATTTTCAGCTAAATATTATTTGGTTATGCTCATATAAACAGTTGAGATGGAAGATAGCAATGCCAGACAAGTTGACTAAGTTATGCTAAAAAACAGTTCAATGATTCTTTCAAATTCCACAACATATCGATAATTTCGTGCAACATAAATGAACCATATTTAATTATCATATTTGAACGTGAAAAAGACCCAATAGGACGGATATAAATCTGACTGATGTTTATTTAGTGTGATTTCAAATCTATCCCTTAGTTCCTAATGTAAGATCACCCAATCTAAAGGACACTACTAGATCTTAAGTGTGTCCATAGATGTTAAAGTTGAAGAGACATGTTCACCTATGTTACCTATGCATATGATGATAGGTTCTAATAGATTAAAAGAAAATGGCTACAATTATGGACTTGGACCAATACATCACAATATAGATATTCAAATTGGTGCAAGAAACTGCTATGTACTTAAGATAAGTGGCAGTACGGGGGAGCACAAACAGTTATTACCATTGTCTATTATTGCAATTGAAGGAGGTTCAGACTAATCTCATTAAACATATCCACTACATGTGGTATATAAGCTTTGTTCACTGCAGAGCAGTTCCAACAAATCTCACAAATGATGCCCTTTCTTCAAGCATCTTTTTTAATACTTGCCTCAGGTACGAGATCTTTTAGTAGTCAGGTGTTAGCTTCTATAGCATCTTCCAGTTCTTTGTTCTCTCGTTGCACCAGATTGCATTACTAGTCTATACATGGTATAAATTCCAAAAAGATGGTCTTTTCCAGATAGGAACTTTCAATCCTTCAAATTATCTTTTCCTCATCTTATGTAATTCTTGTTCCCAAGAAGACAACAATTGAAGTTTTCTTTAGTCAACTTCTTAACAATATCTTCATTTCTCATGATCATAGTAGCCATCCAAATCCTTGAATACTCCTTAGGAGTTTACTTCCTCAGCAACTCAGACATTAACCCCCACTTGGTCAATAATTGGCTAATCACCATCCCACGAAAAGCCCCCAGCAATTTTATGACAATTCTTTGACATTCCATCATTGAGCGTTACCCCCTCAAATATGTTCCCATGAAAATAGCTTAAAGAACCTATTCCAAATACATAAATTTCAAGTTATTATTATTACAAACTGATCACTAAGACAATAAAGACAACTGTTTTCATGGTGAACTTCCAATTAAGTATCAAACCTCCCTTTTATGTAAAACTATAACCAAGACGCAAGAGAGAGGCCTGGTCAAATAGGATATGGAAATATATGAAGGATAAACTCAAAACTAGAGGTGCTTCATAAACTGTCATGGATAGTTTTGGGGATAAACCCAAAATCCACCAACAGTGTCTACATTTTCTTTGGATTACATACTTAGAACAAGGAATGCAGTTCCTAGATCACCTAAATTTGTTTAGATTCCTATTCTAAACAAAAAAGTCCTAAATTTGATATGAATTTTAAAAGAAAAATAAAATTCAAAACAAAAAGTTACATTCATAAAAAAATATGATAAAACCAGTGGTTTAAAAAATGGATTGGTGGGGTGGAATCTCCACACACCTACCTAGATCCAAATAAAAAAGGAGAAAAGAAAGAATGCCATAATATATATCCATGTATTAAATAAGTTAGCTAGGATGGGTCGAGGGCATGGTTGTGGCCTAAAATGTGGAGGTTCGAATCCTCCCACCGCACTTCCTTCAGTTAAATATTAATTAAAAAAAATGGAAGTTAATATTAAAAAGAAAAAAGAAAAAAGAAAAATAGGGACATCATTGGGTCCGAACCTGCCACAACTTCTCATTTCCTAAATATATACATTCTATACTATACACTGTTAATCACCGATTCTGACAAGGAATTGACATGGTTATTGGGGATTCCAGACCGGATCGGCGATTTTTAATTACAAGATAAAACTTAATGAAGTTGTAGGTTTCAATACTAAACATCCCTAAATTAAGCAAGAAAAGAGAATGACAAGCACATGGTCCAACAAAAATAGTAAAAAATCTGTTAAAAGAAGTCACTGATCTTGAATTATGCTTCCAAATTGGACCTAAAGAGTAAATGCCAAATCAGGAGCTTCAAACTCAGTAATTTTTTCTGATTCATGCTTGAAGGGAACATTAAACTAGCAAGGAGATGATCCCACAGAATAATGGTGTTTATATTCTTGACAAGGGAAAATCATGTGGGATCATGCCTCCAGGCAATTTTGGCTATTATGATCATAAAAGTTATATTCTATCTCCAGAACTGTGAGCTTCGAACTGCGACCACTTACAATGCATCTTCAAATGCCTCTTTTTGTTATTCTTGATTATGGCATCCTAACTTGGCATGCATGTGCATTGGTACATAAAATACCATTTCACGCGATAGCCACACTTTCCATCTTAGACCATTATTACCATAGTCGTCGGGAGAGGGATCATGGGATCAACCCGTGGCTAAAGCTACCTAACTTGGGAGCGCCTAGAAGCATGGTTTAGGAAGCCGGAGGGAGTAGCATGATGTATATGCCGCATATATATTGGATTGCTTGGGGGATACTTTTATACACACACATCACAAATGCATTCATACGTACATACATACATACACACATGCATGCATATAATTTTATTTTATTTTATAAAGTCATTTAAGGCATTGAAAAATGTATAATCCACTTGTTAGCATTATATAGACATGCACAATGAGAACTCCATAGCCTCAAAGTCCCATAAAAAATTGAGTAAAATGAGATTGAAGAGCCATATAAAATCCGGATTTAGGTATGGCCAGCATCACTAACCTGATGAGACAAGGCCGATGAACTGTAGTAAGAAATGCTCGGTTCTGGACAACCATAGCATATCACCACTGTAGGGACTTTAACTGGAATAAGGGAGCCCCCGGGTCCGAGTCAACTGCAGTGATTCCGACTCTAGTTCGCCAATTTTCTACTTGTGCAACAAAAATCATCTATGGGTGGTAGTTAGGTAGAAAATTGACAAAAAGCAAAAAAGTAGCGAAAAATCGATGACATTGAGTTCAAAATTCAATAATATTTGAAAGTTCTCCTAGAACCGAGATCCCTTCAAACCATTGTCATCCCCATTTTCAGTGGGGCTGCGATCCCTTTCCAAAGTAATCAAGATCCTTTTAGTCTTGGATCGAGATCCATATAGGATAGGAGTTGAACTCTCTTGATGGAAGGATCGAGATCCACTCAGGCTCCGGCACCAAGATCGCCGGAGCAAGATTCCGAGGGGAACACAAGAGAGAAAATTGAAGGGGGGTCACCATTAACGAACAAAGCTCCCTTCATCTACAATTATTACATAAAGGAATAGGTATACTGAGAGGATTATCAGAGGTAACACATGCAGCTTGAGTAAGGTAATAAACCTGAAGTATTGATTAAACCGTTCCTTGTAACTGGGGCATCTTCAGGTTCAACACCCAACAGGTGAGATGTTATCAAAAACATTAGAAGCAAGAACATGTCCAGAAGAGTTGGGTCTCTGTTAATTGCTCCTTATGTTGGCCTACAGATGCTATTCAACTTATCTAGTTTCTTTGGGCATGTGAACTTCACATGCCAAAGCCAGTGCATAAATAATAAACTGGGCCCATGGTATTCAATGGGAGTTATGAAACAATATATGCCAATTTCAAATATTTAGACCTCACTCTCAAATGCCAACTAGAGGTTCTTCAGATTTCCAATCTACAGATTGGAATGTCGTGAAATTGCAGAAATTAGCCATGATGGTCAAGAGCTTTCAGACCATAAAGTGTTACACATCAACAGTGATCCATGTGATAAACACACATTTATTGCAAGGTCAGCATAAAGACAAATCCTTGCATAAGATTATTCATAGAACCAGTATCCAAGAAACTATAACAATGGGCTGATCCATATGGCTTTTTGAAGAGTGGGTTCAAGCTCTATAAGTGTCTCGCTAGAGACGTGTAAATAACAGCTATGTCACATGACAAAAAAGCTAGCATCTACCTAATGCGAAATCAAACACAACAAACTCTAGTAGCAAATCAACCAAATGGCAACAGTTTCAGAGCCTATCATGGGTTACGCATGAAAATTAGAAATGCACAAATAGTTTCTGCCCCTGCCATAACTTTAAGGTACTTATTGAACTGGATATCAGAGAGTCCTGAGGTACTTTTCAAAATACTCGCACTAATGCGAAGATAAGTAGCCCCAATCTCTTCATACAGATGCTCATGCCAGTAAATAGTGATCTAACATGAGATCCATGGAATATAAAGATCCAGAGTTCTAATCTTCAGATATAGATGAAAGCCCAGAATTCCAACACCACACAAAAGAGGAGACTAGGGTTACAAAAATTAAAGTCTCAGGTTCTGAGAAATACACTTAGCCGAACAAAGCAGAAGAAATTCTCATTGCAAACTCAATTATCTAAAAGGAGGAAAAATGGAGGTCTAACATATCTTCAACACCAATACGAACTGAAGGTTCGTTTCAGATCTTATCACTAATCACTGTGATTAACCATTTTTGTTTTTACATCTACAGATTTCAATTTGATAAGAAATCCTAGGAACTTTTCATATTTATAATCAATTTTCAATTGATTTTAAAGAAGCCAAGAATTATTTCATTGGCTAGCCCACAATCAGGTGTACGGTCCTATTGAAATCAAAGCGACCAAAACACCAATAAGACAAAAAATACTAGAACTCCATTTCCATTAACCAGGTATCCGTATTGCAAATATAGATGCACAAAACGACTGTTGTATACACTACAAAGTTGTTTATTCCCAACAGTCGAAATGATAAATGAGCAGCATAATCAGTACTAATTAGTTCAAGGAAAGCCTTCGGTTCAGGACTTGGTGGCTCGCCATGTAACAAGTTGGCTAAATGATCTCTAAAATGAAAAAAAAACAAAATGATACTCTTTTAACAGGTAACAATCGGCTTCAGAACTTTACTCAGTATGGAAGTGATAGGAAATACTGCCATGTCAGATTTTTATGTCACACAAAGCAGGCAAGCGGCTGAGCTGAGTTAACAGTCAACACAAAAGAGCCCCGAGTCATTTGCCTGGGTTGTTAGCCATTAAAATAGTATCCCATAACATTTAGGAACCAAGTGTTTCATCACAAAATGTTGGGTTGGCAATGACATGGAGGAAATCATGCATGTTTCAAAAAAAGTAGAGCTTACCCTCAGTTCACTACAGGCCCAGAAAAATTGTGGATTCTTTCCTCCAGGACCGCCAAAAGCTTTCTGCCAGGAGTCTAACAGCACCAGTATCTTATCCCTCACATGCATATCCGTCTATTTAGAAATTGTGCCATTAGATAATGTCAAAAGACGAAATGACTATGGTGCAAATTTACAATGGTATTGCTGCATAAAGAAATCATTACTTATACTGTCAGACCATAATACATGAATGTGCTTACTGTAACGGTCCTATATTTTTTGTGTTTTCTTATATTTCTTAGAATTAGCATTTCAATAGTTTGGGGCAGGAGTTGACAATTTTTGAGATATATTCAGTGTACTGTAGCTTTCCTAATTAATAGGGATTTCAGTTTGGCAGGTTTAAAGGAAGTATAAGGTTAAATGGTAGGCTGTTGTGAACAGAATACAAGATAATGAAGGTTTTAAATTTAAATAGAAATAAATAGGGATTTTGGAGAACAATGTCAGGGGTTGGAGAATCAAAATAAAAAAACGAAAACAAGGCCTAATAAGGTTAAACCCCTCGAATTGGCCTAATATAGAAGGAGGTTAGCCCCTCAGAGAGGCTTACTATTGAATTAAAAATCAGATATATTTATCGCAATACGTTCTTTATGTGGGATCATATCAATTATAAGCAGCATGTGAAATTGCAAGCAATTTTCTTTTATTGTTTAGTCATTGGCAAACATAAAGTCAGTCATATACATGTACAGGGCTGAGAGAGATAAAAAAAATTGCAAAAACCAATTCAGCTATTAACTCAAAATGTGAAATGATGAAGCTGATGCACAATTGTAAATGTGAAGCCAAAAACTAAGCAAAGTCAATTCATCTTTTGATATAAATTACTTAAAATAATCAAGTTCCAGGGAGTCTAAGTTTTTTTTTTTTTTGAAATCACTAACATATTGTTTAGCCCAGTAGTCGTACGGCTACGAATGCTCTGCATTTCTAATCTATATGCAACTTTTTTATTTTTGAATGAAGCCTTTTCAAATTAACATAGCATATTTGCAATCTAAAATAGCTTTCAAAATGCCAAACTCATAATAGTTTCAGAAGGGGCTCCAAATTTCTCAATTTGGACAAATTTCAAGCAATGGCCGAATTTCAGAAAGGGGACAGAAAAAGAAACCATTGAACTTATGCTTGTCTAGATGCTTCCCCAAATCATAATTTCATGCTGGGGGGGCAACATTTTAAGTGAGGCACCATTAATGCTTGAGTGATCCCTTCTAGTGGCCATATAGAACCCCTCGTACGTACTCAGAAAATGCTGAAGTTTTGTGAGTGAGATGAAAATTGATAATGCTAGTTTCCATAACATATGCAAACCACCATAGTTTGTTGGGACGTCAATCACAAATTAAACAAATCCTAAGTTGCATGCATACTCTTAATGTTCACAAGAATCACAACACTACTCTAACTGGTCAGATCAGCCAGTTGGATTGTTCCAGAAAAAAATTAAGAAAATCAAGAAAACATTAAAAAAAAAAGTCATTATAAAAAATCAAAATTTTATAAAAAGATGATCCTACTGGCTCGTTTAACCAGTTCTGACTGGTTTCACCCATTTGGTGATCAGACCAGACTGGTTCAAAGCCTCGTTTGGTCCAAACAATAGGATGGGCCAGCCCCGAGTCTTCGTAACATTGGGAATTATATTGCCACAACTTAAAATGCTTAAGATTGTAATGCTGATGTTGCAAAGGCTTCCAACATTGTTAACTAACAAGGAAAGAGAACATAAGAGATACATAATTGACTATAAAAGCATGGTCAGTAAGCAGCTTTTACAGTTCTCTTAACAATTTTGATCATCTCTTGAAGGATACACCCCTCAACGACTTGATGGTGCACAAGTTCACCACAATTTTTCATTATTGTCTCCAACAGCTGAAAAGAAAATATGGCCAAGTTACAACAAATTCAAACTTATATCAAATTTGACAACATCTTAGTACTTAAAATCTAAAATAATTCTAGAAAGTTTCAATTCATGAGGCAACACACAACCAAGAACATATAATTGACAATCTGAGACAAATGGGAACCATAAGAACGCATAATATGTGTTCCATGATATATTAATGAGCAATTGTGCATCAAGAATATACTGGTGTAGGTAGAATGTACAATAAGAATACATAAACAAGGGATTGTCTACAAAGCGACCATTTACATTTTGTACATTGGGGCCATATTGAAAAAACCGAGTGATCTAATCGGTAACAGCCCGGTTAGATCGGAATTGGCCTGTTCCAGTTTTGAGCGGTTTTGGTGATCGGCCGGTATTTAAAAAAAATTCAAAAAAATGTATATAAAATCCCAAAAATAAGGAATTTGGTTTGTAATACAGTTTTTAATATTCTTTACATTATGGTAAAGATTAGAAATTTTTTTGGTCATTAATACGCACTTTTATATATTCCCATCTTTTTCAGAAAATTTTAAAAATACTCCTAGGCACAAATCAATTATTGAAAATCCATTTTTTTCATTAATTTTCAACTTCATTTGAATGTGTTTTATTTTTTTAATCATTCTTTATATGCTTTTCATATTTTAGTAGAATGTTTTTGTATATTTTTATTTTTTCAACAATTTTCTGACCACGCGAGACTTGCCCGGTTAAAACGATTGAATCGGCTGTTTTACCGGTTAGGCCAGTTAAATTGCTTCCGGCCCCATATCCGGTTAACCGTTCCAGTTAGATTTTATGAACACTGCATTGAGGTCACAATCATTTTTGTCCCTTAAATTTCAAAGTGAGTGGCTGTAAGAGTGTCATTGAATAGACACAAAGTTCCAAAAAAAAATTCTCAGACTTCATGACTCATGCCAAGCCATCCAATTTGACATCGTTGTAAGAGTGTTAATGAATAGACACAAAGTTCCAAAAAAAAAATCTCGGACTTCATGACTCATCCCAAGCCATCCAATTTGACATCTAATGAGTGATAATGATTGTGACCTCTATTTACAAAAGATAATGGTTTTTGTAGATAATCCCTATAAACAATATCAAATCACGCACTGTACTAATGTTCCATTTCAGTTGTTGATCTCCGAATCCGGAACATGTTGCATTAAGTATACATTCATTGTGTTTAGAAGTATGTAGGGGTGAAAACTATTGACATTCTTCTTTCCAGGAATAAAGAAAATATGGCAAACATTTTCACCAAGACCCAGTCCTTGTACCAGCTATTCCTATGTACCTTCAAAATAACAAAACTCCATCTTCCTGCTTTAGAGGGAATACGGAAGTAAAGGCACAAGTTTAATATCATGTAACAGCATTATTTCGAATTTGCATAAATGCTTAATACTGTACTCTTTTCTCTTAACCCTAAGGATATTTGCCTCATTTGTAAACATTTATTGGCTGTAATGTTTTCATGGAAGTTTCCCGTGTGTTAAGGCTTTGTTTTCTTTAGCAATGTGCTACATGAACACTTCTAAAAAATGTTGGCAAGATCATTAATGCTAGCGAATGGAGTGAAGAATGAAGCAAGCACATTTCCAAGTACAATGCTCAAGGAAAATAACAAGAATGCTAGACACAGGCCAATCTTGAGAGGGACCTGAACGTACTGTCAGTGAAACCATCTGAACCTTTGGGTTTTTATTCTGAATTCGTCTTTTTACTGATTTCAGCACATCTTTTGCATGCCTGCCAAAATCAAACAGAAAGTAGTGAAATATATTAGACCTATGGATAAAAAGAAAACATAGGCTACACAATTTGTTATTACAAACATATGCTAAATAAATTCCAAGTATCAGTACTGCCTTACATTATAAAGAATAAATGGAAAAACTTAAATTCAATATCTTCAAGTCCACAATGTAGTAATGAATAACGAAGCACTTGACATGCAATGTCACATCTTAATCCTTATCACATCAATGTGAAAGCACAACTAGAAGAGTCCTCAACTCCTTTTATTAACTCATAAGTGTCGACAACTGACAATTTGAGGTGATACTTCTTTTATCTGGTTGTTAAGAGTAGGGCTCAAGCTGAAACCAGCGGCTCAGTACAAATAAGGCACAGTATTATATTACTCACAAATCCAAACATTTTAACAACTTGCTTACAACGAAGTGTATTGCAAAAAATATATTTACAGTATTAATATGGAAATGTAGTATTAATCATACAATAACTCCAACAAACTACGTTCAAGTTTTGTTGGAACCTTACTGTAAAACCAAATGATTTTTCTTTCTTAATGGATCTCAAAAACTAAATACCCAAGTGAACAATAACTACTCCGCCAAGTACAAGTGCTTATCGAACAAAAATGTATTTATTTGATTCATGTCATTACTTCTTTCATTAGTTGTACATGGTTCAACTAGATCCGCACATGCTTCTGTCCACCCATCTTTCATAGGGCCAAGAGAATAGAAAGGCCGTAGAGATAAAATGTTAAACCTATGAACCTTTAGTGCTTGTCCATAAGACTTACCAACTTCAATGGCGCCAGACACGATGGCAGCAGACACAGGATTTAATTACCGATATTTATTTATAAATCAATATTATAATACATAAATAATATAACATTAAAAGTCCATATTCAATTCAAATCACTTGTAACACAGGGAGCACAACATCCATGACCCAATAAAAACCTTGAATCCATGCTTTATTTTCCCGATAGCGGAATCTTTGATTGCAGCACTTTTGATGATTCTTTCTACCATCTTGGGAATTGATCTAGTATTACCATTTAAAAAAGAAAAGGCATGCCAGTTTTAAACTGGCTTTAAAGGTATAACGAATAGGATATTAAATATATACTGGTAAAGATATCAACAAACTGAGCTAAACCAAGCTTCGACATGTTAAATTTCAGGTTTCAGGGGAGGAAGACCAGCTTGGGCTCGACTCGAGCTTGAACCACCCAGCTTGAGCTTGGCTTCATTAAGGGGAGACAAGAATAAGCTGGGCATGGCTGGACATGTTGACTTAAACAAGCCCAAAAATGACCCAAGTCTAGCCATAAACATGCCGAGCACAAGTACATAAACAAATTAAGCAGAAAACAAATAATATTATAAAGTAATTTCCTCCTGGACCTATTCTCATGCAATTATGTTTCAGATGCACACATACGCACGTTTCTAGACATATACATGCGGGTTCATATAAGGTGCAACACTTAGTTTCCTGCAGTTTGTTGACATCCTAGCACTCCTTTATTGACATTTGATGGTTCGGTTGATGTCAACAAACCGTAGGAATAGGAACCAAGTTCTATGTACAATACGTGTTTGCGCATGTTTGTATGCTCAAGCGCATGTGCTTGTGCATGTACATGTGCACGTGTTCTATGTGATGAACAAACTTCAAGAAGAGATTGTCGCAGAATGGGCTTGACTCATGTAATAGGCAAGGTGCCGGGTCCGGCTTGGTGAATACTCGAGCTTGTTTTCTTTTTTTCACCAAGTAAAATTCTTTAACATTAATGGGATAGGAATAGACTCAAGATATCACGTTGTGGCACCCCACCACCATAACTACCTAGATCTTGGGTCAGTTTTTAAGCTTGCAAGCCAACATGAGCTGGCTTGCAAGTGAACAACTCGGCATATTGACACTTAAAGTCCTCAAAAGTTCAACAATCCAGGTTTACCAAGAACAGGATATTAGAATCTATGATTGAATACAAGGTACCAAAGTTCAACAAATTCAATTCCAGCAAGACCAAGCACGTTAAAATCATGGATGAAAACAACACCAAGGACTCAATTCCTCAAAAGTTCAGCAAATTCAATTTCAGCAAGTAATGTTCAAAAACTCAGCTCATGCTCAGGACTAAGGCCCTGGCCAAGCTGAGTAACTCAAGCGAGTCCCAGTGGACTCCCTCAATCAGTAACAACAAAAATAAAAATTATTAAAAATAAAATAAAAATAGTAAAAATCATGCTAAACTATAAACAACATCAAAATTCCAAAAATCGAAAAAATATATAAAAGATGGGTTCGGAAGAAATTGATTATGGCAAGAAACATTTCAAAATAAATCCAAAAAAAGTGGATTATGAAAATGGGGCATATGATAAGAAAAACTCACAAATCATCATTATCATATATATATATATATATATATATATATATATATAGAGTAGTAGTAGTACGTAACGTACTACTTACTTAGTATAACGTAGGTAGTAACGTAAACTAACTACTAACTAACCTACGTACGTAGTAG